TTGATGTTCAGCATCTTGCCTCGTTAGTTGGACTTCTGGGAGGAGTTTTCTAAGTTTTTCTCCATAATATAAGCAAATGTCGGGTAGTTCTCCTTAATATCCTCTCAGTACTTATTTTACATACAAAGATTTTTATACATAATACTTTCAATACTCTTTGGAGAATATAATATAGAAATTAATAATATAGTAGTAATACGAATAATTATATTATTAATTTAAAATAAATAATTAGAAATAGAAAAAAATTAAATTTAAAAATTTATTTTATAGGAAAAATTTTTAGTGTATCATTTCTAATAAATAGTATTTAAAAATAATTTATTTATAAATAATATTTATATGTATATGAAATTTAATTATATTTCAATATATAAATTATATTGATGGTATCTATTTATAATAAATAATATTTAAAATAAAAAAATCGAATTTTTATAGATTGCAATTTTATACCAAGTTATTTGTTTTTAAATGGAAAGTACCATAGAATACAATACTGATATGCTCAACAAATATTAGCAGATTACAAAGAAATTCAACATATGTATATATAAAATATCTTCTTCGAAGCAGCAATGAATCCGTAAAATTGATTTTCTACGCTAGAAAGAGGAAGCTTTGTTTTTATTTATTTTTCCCTGAAATTTTATACAAACTTCAATTTAAATATATATTGAAAATGCAAATCCTTTCATTTCATATGTGGAAAAAACCTATTTATTGATCAATTGTCTGCCAAATATATTTATTGTTTTTTTTTTTTCTTCTGTATTATCAGATGGTTTGGGGGTCGAAAAATCGTTCTAGTTTCCATGAGGAATTGCCACACATTGTAAATAAATCTTGCCAAACGATAAATTTTTCCAAACGATTTTGTTGGTTTAAAGTGTTTTCAAGAAAAGTGGGGGTTTTTTTTTTTTATTTTTTATAACAGATTCCTGTATTTATGTTGTTGATAGTACAATGTCTTGAATTTTAAGCAATTTTGGGAAATATTTTTTTTTTTTTTGCAAAGTGTAGAATTTATAATTTTTATGGTACCTAGAGAATCGAAATTTAAATAAAGGTCAAATTTTCCTTGAAGAAAATTTCTAGCACTGCAATCACTTTTGTGCATTACATTGATTCTTTATTTAAATATTTGTATTGTTGTAAGAAATCACATCAGAATCAAATGTTAATTTAAATTCCATTTTTAACTAATGTTTGGAATCAATTTTTTTTTAATTCAAATTCTTTCAAATGAGTTCAAACGCAATTATTAAAAAAATCCTTGTTTATTTTTTATAGGTTAAATAACAACATTTATTTTAAAAAGATTTTAATTTACACATTTTAAAATTCAATAAATTACCACTAGTGGCTCAGTGGTAACGTACGAATCTGATGAGCATTAGGGTGGATGATTCAATCCACTGACTGTATTGTTGTAGACACTGTTTGTTTAAAAAAGAGATGACTCGATGGCGTTTGAAATGTTTAGCATCTTGCCTCGTTAGTAGGACTACATTGTGGGAGAAAGGTTTTTCTTCTAAACCATACGCTTATGCAGGGGGTAGTCCACAATATTTCAGTATAGTTTGCATGCAATTATTATTTATATATATTTCGATATATTTTGCATACAAATAATATTTATATATATTATATTTCATTGTATTTCGATATGTAAATTATATTAAAGGTATCTACTTATAATAAATAATATTTCAAATAAAAAAAAATCGAGTTTTCGTAAATTGCAATTTTACACCAAATTATTCATCAGTTTTTAAATGGAAAGTACCATAGAATACATTCAAAAATTCCACAAATACCACAGATTACAAAGAAATTCAACACATGTATATATAAAATATCAATACATTTTCGAAGCAGCAATGAATTCAATATACATTCAGTATTTTAAAAATGGATAATATTTATATATAAATATAATTGTTCAATATATTTTAGATACAAAATATTATTTATACATATAATATTTCATTGCATTCCAATATATAAATTATATTGAAGGTATCTGTTTATAATAAATAATATTAAAAAATTTTTAAAAAAATCGTTTTTTTTATAAATTTCAATTTTATATCAAATTATTCGGTTTTTAATTGGAAAGCACCATAGAATACAATACTGCTTGCTCATCAAATACCTACATATTACAAAGAAATTCAACACATGTATATTTAAAAATATCTTTTTCGAATCCTCAAGGAATTCGTGAAACTGATTTTCTACGCTAGAAAAGAGGAATCTTTGTTTTTTCCCCTGAAACTTTGTACAAACTTCAATTTAAACATATATTGAAAAATGCAAATCTTTTCATTTCATATGTGAAAGAAACCTATTTATTGATCAATTGTCTGCCAAATATATTTTTTGTTTCTTTATTTTCTGTATTATCAGAGGGTTTGGGGGGGTGGAAAAACCGTTCTAGTTCCATGAGGAATTGCCACACATTGTAAATAAATCTCGCCAAACGATAAATTTTTCCAAACGATTTTGTTGGTTTAAAGTTCCTTCAAGAAAAATGTTTTTCTTTTTTTTTTTTTTTTTTTTATCACTGAGTCCTGTATTTATGTCGTTGATAGAGCACTGTCTTGAATTTTAAGCAATTTTGGGAAATAGTTTTTTACAAAGGGTGGGATTTATAATTTTTTATGGTACCTAGAGAATCGAAATTTAAATAAAGTGCAAATTTCCCTTAAAGAAAATTCTAACACTGCAATGTATTTTGTGCAATACATTGATTCTGTATTTAAATTTTGTGCAAGTATTGTATTTACAAAACACATCAGAATCAAATGTTGAACCTTTATTTAAATTCAGTTTTTTTTTTTTATTAATGTTTAGGATAAATTACCTTTTTCTATTTCAAATCCTTTCAAATCAATTCAAATATCATTATTAAAATTATCTTAAATAACAACATTTATTTTAAAAATTATTTTATTTTGTACATTTTAAAATTAAATTAATTCCCACTAGTAACGTGCGACGCTGGTGAGCATTAGGTCAGAGGTTCAATCCGCTGGCGACATTATTGTAGACGCTGTTTCAAAAACGAGAAGACCCGATGGGGTTTGAGATGTTCAGCATCTTTCTCGTTAGTAAGACTACCTGGTAGAAGTTTTCTGGGTTTTCTCCTATACGATACTCAAATGCGGGGTAATTCTCCCTAACAGTCCACACCAAAGGCACTGCCCTCCTTCTTCAGTGGCACGGAGTTCTTATGCACAATACTTTTAGACAATATGGTCTATGGAGAATTCATTGATGTCGAAATTAATAATATAATAATAATTAGAATAATTATATTATTAGTTTCAAATAAATAAATTATATTTAAATAGGTTTATTTTATTTGGGAAAAAAACTTAAGGCTATCTGTTTTATAATAAATAGTATTTAAAATATAATTTATTTATCAGTAATATATATATATTCCAATATATGAAATATATTGAAGATATCTATTTAAAATAATTAATATTTAAAATAAAAAAAAAAATCGAGTTTTATAATTTGCAATTTTATATTAATTTATTCGCGTTTTTAAATGGAAAGTACCATAGAATACAATGCTGCTATACTCAACAAATACTTACAAATACAAAGAAATTCAACACATGTATATATAAAATATCTTTTGCGAAGCCGCAATGAATTCGTAAAACTGATTTTCTACTCTAGAGAAGAGGAATTTTTTTTTTCCTCAAACTTTGTACAAACTTCAATTTAAATATATATTGAAAAATGCAAATTCTTCCATTTCATATGTGGAAGAAACCTATTTATTGATCAATTGTCTGCCAAATATATTTATTTTTTTTTCTTCTGTATTATCAGAGAGTTTGGGGTCGAAAAATCGTTCTAGTTTTATGAGGAATTGCCACACATTGTAAATAAATCTTCGCCAAACGATAAATTTTTTCAAACGATTTTGTTGGTTTAAAGTGTTTTCAACAAAACGTTTTTTTTTTTTTTTTTTTTTTTTTTTTTATCACCGAGTCCTGTATTTATGTTGCTGATAGAACACTGTCCTGAATTTTAAGCAATTTTGGGAAATAGTTTTTGCAAAGGGTAGGATTTATAATTTTATGGTATCAAGAGAATAGAAATTTAAATAAAGTGCAAATTTTTCTGAAAGAAAATTCGTAACACTGCAATATAATTTGTGCATTGATTCAGTACATTGATTCTGCACGAGTATTGCGTTTACAAATCACATCAGAATCAACTGATAAACATTTATTTAAATTCAGTTGTTTCTTACTAATGTTTAAGATCAATTTCTTTTTTTTTATTTCAAATTCTTTCAAATTAATTCAAACGTCACTATTTAAAAAATCCTTAAAAATTTTGTTTAGATTAAACAACATCATTTATTTTAAAATGATTTTAATTTATACATTTATTAAATGCCATACATTTATTAAATCAATTGGTAACACGTGCCTCTGGTGAGCATTAAGGTTAAGGTTCCATCCACTGGGAGCTTTGTTGTAGACATGGTTTCTAAAAATTAAAAAGAGAGAAGATGGCATTTGTGATGTTCAGCATCTTGCCTCGTTAGTTGGACTTTGGTGGGAGTTTTCTGGTTTTTCTCCTATAAGATACGCAAATGTCGGGTAGTTCTCCTTAACAGTCCTCCCTGAAGTCACTGCCCTCCTTCTTAAGCTACACAAAGATTCTTATACATAATATTTCGGACAATATGCTCTATGGAGAACTCACTAATGTAGAAATTAATAATATAGTAGTAATACGAATAATTATATTATTAATTTAAAATAAATAATTAGAAATAGAAAAAATTAAATTTAAAAAGCTTTTTATTTTATTTAGGAAAAACTTTTAGTGTATCTGTTTCTAATAAATAGTATATAAAAATAATTTATTTATAAATAATATTTATATGTATATGAAATTTAATTATATTTCAATATATAAATTATATTGATGGCATCTATTAATAATAAATAATATTTGCCAACGGCCATACCATGCTGAATATACCGGTTCTCGTTAGATCACCGAAGTCATTGAAGCATCATTGGGCGCGGTGTACTTGGTTGGGTGACCACCTGGGAACACCACGTGCCGCTGGCATTCACAAATTTCGGACCTGAATGGCCGAGTGTCTAGCGCTCTGGCGCTCGGTACAGGTTTCGGGTTCGAATCCCGGCGGTGTCATGGATGTTTGTAGTGGTTCGGAATCCACTTTAAGCCGTAGGTCCCGGTCTCCCATGACTGTAAGAGCGTCACGGAGCCAAAGTCAGACTTCTACCTACGGGGTGCTCCATCACAACAGAAACTGCTTCCTTCCCCTTCAATCATGAGCACATATGGGCTCTTGGGTTTGGCCAGCCAAGTGGGATAAGAAACAACAAACAACAACATAAATAATATTTAAAATAAAAAAATCGAATTTTTATAGATTGCAATTTTATACCAAGTTATTTGGTTTTTAAATGGAAAGTACCGTAGAATACAATACTGATATACTCAACAAATATTAGCAGATTACAAAAGAAATTCAACACATGTATATATAAAATATCTTCTTCGAAGCCGCAATGAATCCGTAAAATTGATTTTCTACGCTAGAAAAGAGGAAGCTTTGTTTTTTTATTTATTTTTCCCTGAAATTTTATACAAACTTCAATTTAAATATATTTTGAAAATGCAAATGCTTTCATTTCATATGTGGAAGAAACCTATTTATTGATCAATTGTCTGCCAAATATATTTATTGTTTTTTTTTTTTCTTCTGTATTATCAGAGAGTTTGGGGGGTCGAAAAATTGTTCTAGTTTTATGAGGAATTGCCGACACATTGCAAATAAATCTTGCCAAACGATAAATTTTTCCAAACGATTTTGTTGGTTTAAAGTGTTTTAAAGAAAAGTGGGGGTTTTTTTTTGGTTCTTTTTTTGTCACAGATTCCTGTATTTATGTTGTTGATAGTACAGTGTCTTTAATTTTAAGCAATTTTTGGGAAATAGTTTTTTGCAAAGTGTAGGATTTATAATTTTTTATGGTACCTAGAGAATCGAAATTTAAATAAAAGTGCAAATTTTTCCTTTTGAAGAAAATTTCTAGCACTGCAATCACTTTTGTGCATTACATTGATTCTTTATTTAAATATTTGCGGATATTGTTGTAAGAAATCACATCAGAAACAAATGTTCATTTAAATTCCAATTTTAACTAATGTTTAGAATCAATTCTTTTTTTTTTTTTAATTTCAAATTCTTTCAAATGAGTTCAAAACGCAATTATTAAAAAAATCCTTGTTTATTTTTTTATAGGTTAAATAACAACATTTGTTTTAAAAATATTTTAATTTACACATTTTAAAATTCAATAAATTACCACTAGTGGCTCAGTGGTAACGTACGATGCTGGTGAGCATTAGTGGATGATTCAATCCACTGGCTGTATTGTTGTAGACACTGTTTGTTTAAAAAAGAGATGACACGATGGCGTTTGAAATGTTTAGCATCTTGCCTCGTTAGTAGGACTACATTGTGGAGTTTTCTAGGTTTTTCTTCTATACCATACGCTTATGCGGGTAGTCCATAATATTTCAGTATATTTTACATGCAATTATTATTTATGTATAAAACATTTCGATATATTTTGCATACAAATAATATTTATATATATTATATTTCATTGTATTTCAATATGTAAATTATATTAAAGGTATCTACTTATAATAATAATATTTCAAATTAAAATCGAGTTTTTATAAATTGCAATTTTACACCAAATTATTCATCAGTTTTTAAATGGAAAGTACCATAGAATACAACACTCAAAAATTCAAATACCACAGATTACAAAGAAATTCAACACATGTCTATATAAAATATCTTTTCGAAGCAGCAATGAATTCAATATGCATTCAGTATTTTATAAATGAATAATATTTATATATAAATAAAATTTTTCAATATATTTTAGATACAAATATTATTTATACATATAATATTTCATTGTATTCCAATATATAAATTATATTGAAGGTATCTATTTATAATAAATAATATCTAAACTAAATTTTTAAAAAATCGTTTTTTATAAATTTCAATTTTATATCAAATTATTCGGTTTTTTAAATGGAAAGCACCATAATACAATACTGCTTACTCAACAAATACCTACAGATTACAAAAGAAATTCAACACATGTATATATAAAAATATATTTTCGAATCCGCAATGAATTCGTGAAACTGATTTTCTACGCTAGAAAAGAGGAAGCTTTTGTTTTTTTTTCCCCATGAAACTTTGTACAAACTTCAATTTAAATATATATTGAAAAACGGAAATCCTTTCAATTCATATGTGAAAGAAACCTATTTATTGATCAATTGTCTGCAAAATATATTTATTGTTTTTTTTTCTTCTTTCTTCTGTATTATCAGAGGGTTTGGGGGAGTCGAAAACCGTTCTAGTTTCATGAGGAATTGCCACACGTTGTTAATAAATCTCGCCAAAATGATAAATTTTTCCAAACGATTTTGTTGGTTTAAAGAGTTTTCAAGAAAAATGTTTTCTTTTTTTTTTTTTTTTTTTATTATCTCTGAGTCCTGTATTTATGTTGTTGATAGAACACTGTCTTGAATTTTAAGCAATTTTGGGAAATACTTTTTACGAAAGGTAGGATTTATAATTTTTATGGTGTCTTGAGAATAGAAAATTTAAATAAAATGTAAATTTTCCTTAAAAGAAATTCTTAACACTGCAATGTATTTTGTAAAATGCTTTTTTTTTATTTATTTATTTTATTCTTATTTATTTATTTTAATTCTTTCTTATTTAATTCTTTTTTATTTTAATTCTTTTTTATTTATTTATTACGCATTTATTTATTTTTGTTTTTATTTATTTATTTTTATTTTTTATTTATTTATTTTTATTCTCATTTATTTATTTTTACTTTTTTTTTATTTTTATTCTTATTTTTATTCATTTATTGTAATTTATATACTTGGTATCTTTTACATCAAAAAATGTTAATATAGTTTTCAGTTCGAAAAAAAAATAAGAAAATTTGTTCTAAAAAAATTTAACATTGATAATTTATTATGGATCTTATTTTTATTTGAAAACCTTCATTTATTCGCATCGTATTTTAGAAGCTCTTTTTTTTTGAATTCATTATAATCAATTTATTTTTGAAAAAAAAAATCTCAATTAACAATTGGTTAATTTTATATTTTAATTTACTGCTTTTTAATCTAAAAAAAATAATTTTACTTTCTCTACTTAACGAATCATTATTTCTTGATCAAACTTTTGTAAAAATTTATAATTTTCACTCCATATAATGTTCAACACATATATGATTATGAAATATAACCAGAACTAAGGTTATCTATATCAATAAGATTTTTAATCGCATTTTTTTTTCTCCGAGAGATAAATTAAAACTACTGCGATAAAAAAAAAAAAAAAAAAAAAAAAGGATACCCGTAGACGGTTGTAACCTGCATATATATAAGTGCTTCACATCGACAATTAAATCTGCCCAGCGGATGTTATCCTGAATTCCTTCTCATCAACATCCAAATGTGGAGCAAGGTATAACCTAAAACCTTTCCATAAGAAATACCTCTTCACCTCAACAGTGAATTATTCGTAGCGTAAATAAGTGGAACATGAAACTGAATTGTAGATTTTTTTTTTCTTGGAAGAACATATTCTAAATATTTGTAATTAAAGAAAGCGTTTTCCCGTAATTTATTTTATCTTTTAAACTTTATTTAATTAACATCCAACATTAACACGTTTCTTTATTTACAGTATATAATCAAAAAACTTTAACTGATAAAACAAAAATAGATGGTGCCACAATCGAATTAGGGCTATTTTTAAATCGATGTTTCATTGTTCTCTGATTGCAGGATTATGCATTGTACGTTCGATTTCCATTAGTAACGGCTGATACGATATTTTTGTGTTATGATTCATAGATGGTTAGCGGCTAAAATTAATATGCTAACACATCCATACTTTGCCAGCCGAAATTTCTCCTGATATTTAATATTATTTTTTCTGCGAATTTATTCTAATTATTCATTTGTTATATTAACTCAAATAGGCTTATTGAGAGACTAAATTTATATACAGGGTGATTATAATTAAAGTCCCACTTTCAAAATGCTATAAAAAAGGAAACACTTGTCACAATGAGTTCAAATTTCAACTGAAGATACTTGAAGAAGGGGAAAACTGTACGGCATCAAATAAAGTCCCATAACAAGTTCCACTGATTTTTACCATCCAATTTGGTATGTCCCTGCTATGGTAGATGAGCGTTCCACTAACAGTGTCAAAACTGTTGAATGACTTAGAAGAAATTTTTCTTCAAAAAACACCGAAACAATAAAGCACAGTGAACCCTACAGTTGGTTTAATGTGCAACTCATGCCAAATGCGTTGTCATTTCGATTCAAAATATCACTGGCAGCCATATTCACTTTCTTTATGTAGCTTAAGCGCCATCTATTAATGCACTGTGGAACTTTTTTGGATGCCGTACCGGTTTTCCCCTTTCTTCAAGTATCTTCAGTTCAAATTTGAATTCATTGTGGCGAGTGTTTCTTTTTTTTACAGCAATTTGAAAGTGGGACTTTAATTATAATCACCCTGTATTTATGTGAATTTATTGAAATACATAAGTTATAAGATTGTCGATAATAGTTTGTTGATGGAATATATTCAACCAATTGTCTGCGTTATAAGATTGTGGATAGCAATTCGTTGATGGAATGTATTCAACCCTTTGTCTATGTTATAAGGTTGTGGATAACAATTTGTTGATGGAATATATTCAAACAACTCTCGGTTTTTTCCCAATGAATTCATTACAGAATTAAAAATATATATATCATTTTGGCTATATAATAAATCAATTTACTATACGGTTTACTAAAGGAAAATTCCTCCGATGCTGCGCTTTGAAGACATTTAACTATGTAACAACTAGAATGGCCAAAGGCCGTACCATGGTGAATATACCGGTTCTCGTTAGATCACCGAAGTCAAGCATCATTGGGCGCTGTCAGTACTTGGGTGGGTGACCCCTGGGAACACC